TGGTAAAGTGTCTCTGGGTTCAATCCCCAGTACAAAAAAAAAAAAAAAAAACCTGATTAATTTATTGATTAGGCAATCCCAGACTCACACCCTTTCTTTGAACCTCAGTTTTCTTGTCTGTAGATTCAGAACATTTCCTCTCTTAAAAGTGCCACTACGAGAACTAAGATAACTCAGGCACAACACTTGAGGTACTGCTGGCCCCAAGTGAGGCTCATTAAATAGCAACCCTTATTACTGAAGCTCCAAACAGTGTCTGAGCTATGCCAAGATCCCAGTCATGGTCACTTGGGCTGTGAAATTCTCACCTAGGTTGATGGCCTCGTAGACATACTCAGGGTCATGCATGAGATCACAGAGGGCCATGAGGGCTTTCTGCCTTGTCAGCAGGTCTTCTGAATTTAGCTCTTCATTCAGCTTGGGCAGGGCCCTACAACCATAGGCAATGGCAGCCTTGGTGGGGTTGATATCTGGAGGAAGATACTTGGAGATCTGGGCATGAGCCATCTTTCCACATGCAAAGGACTTTCAAAATGAAGTTCTGCAGAGACCACTGATTTAAAAAACCCAAAAAGCTGTGTTATTACTATTGTGATTTAAAGACTACTTTTCATCTGATCATCAAAACTGTGAGGGCAGGTGGATGGCTATATTGCATTTTACAGATAAGCAGAGTTCTCCCATGCAATTCATTTAACAACAGAGGAAAACACTCTGACAGTTCATAAGCTCGGTTCTCACAGGCACTGAAGGGACAAAACAAAACAAACAAGCAAACACCAAGATGGTCTCTCTATTTAGTGATTATCTGATGCCAGCAATAACTAGTACTTAACTCAACCACCCCATAAGGAGAAGACTTGTATTATCCACATTTTACAAATGAGGAAATTAAGAGAAAAGCCAAGGAGCTTGGAGGTCGAAGAATTGGTAAAGCTAGAAGCCATTGTCCAAATCCAGGTCTAGCTCATTCACCTGTCAAGAACCCATATTCACATGTTTAGAATACATCTGCAAAAAAAGAATTAAGGTTAGAGGATGAGTTATTTTTATTACACACACACACACACACACACTTTCAACAACTATTAGCAGTGTGGCTTAGTGGTTAAGGGCTGGCTGCAATCCCAGGTCAGAGTGGTCCTTAATAAGTTTTCTCCTCCATCTGTGCCTTTCTACAATTACAAAAAAAGAAGTAATAGTAGTACCTCCTTCCTGTCCTTCCAGCATTATCATATTAACCATTAACAGACGCCTACAAGCCTGTGGCTATTGTTATGATTGTTATTGCATTTAGTCACATAGTCAGGAATCTCCCCAGTAAAAATTGAATCAAACTCTGATACCTGGCATCAGATGACAAGGGTAAAGGGGCCTCTCTGGGAATGACACAACCATATCTGATCTGGGCTCCCCTCTCAGGAAACAGTAGACATTGGGACAGGGACCTGCCCTCCTCTAGAGGGCACACACTGGAGTCCGGTCATTTATAGAAACACGCAGGATAGGGTGTGGAGACATCGGTCCTGGGTGGGCAGGTCTGGGTAGGTCAGGGAGCCCCCCTGTCCCCGCGCCGCTGACCCACAGCCGCCCCTCACCTGCCTCAGCTCTTCCAGTCTTCTGGCACCCCCCAGCCGTCGGCGTGCTCCCGTTGCCAGGCAACCTGGTTGCCAGGAGACTCCAGCAGCGGCTGCTGCGTCCGGCTTCTACAAATGGCGCCCACGGAGCAGGCGCGAACGGCTGCACTGATGTCCTACTCCAAGTGGGAGCAACAATGTTTGACAGGTTTACTAAGGGGAACAAAAGTGACCCCCCAGCTTTCTTCAGGGTACAGAACTGAAAGGAAGTGACTAATGTATGCCTTTCTCAGTACTAGGCACTTTCTTTTTCTTTTTTCGTACTGGGATTTAATCCAGAAACGCTTTACCACTGAGCCACGACCCAAACCTTTTTATTTTTCTTTTGAAACAGGGTCTCACTAAGTTGCTCGAACTTAGAATCTTCCTGCGTCAACCTCCAAAGTCGCTGCGAATACAGGCCTGCACTATCATGCCCAACATTTTCCATGCTTTTGATCATCAGAGTAAAGCCATGAGGTGGTTAACATTATGCAGGTTAGGGATAGGAATCTCAGGTTCAGTAGCTTTCCCCAAGTAGCTGGGATTATAGATATCATTACCATGACTGGCTCCCTCCCAAAGCCTGTATTGCCTGTAACTCTAATGACCTCTTTGTCCTTCAAGAGGCAAATTGGTGGACACTTTCTCTAGGAACATTTTTTTCCTCTACAAATCCAAATTACTAAGATATTTCATATCTCATACCTTAATCACCCCCACTGTCACACTCCCTCCAGGTGCTGGGGATCAAACACAGAGCCCTGGGTAAGCAAAGGAAGTGCTCTACCACTGAATTTTACCCCTAGCCCTCTATTTATTTCTGATTCCCCTAGAGATATACAACTTCTCTGTGGAAAGAAACCACATCAATTCTGTTTCCTTGCCTCCCCAGGGCCAGGCACATCCCATGAGATGTTCAGCAAGAATAGAAAAAAACTAAGTGGTTAATGGATTTGAATGGAACTTTACAATCTAAAAGCACTTTCACAGAAACTGGGTTTAGGAGGCTGAGGCAGGAGGATCACAAGTTCTAGACCAGCCTCAGCAACTAACAGATCACTATCTCATGTGATCTTCATAAGAAACCCTTGAAGTAGATAGGTTCATAGCTGAGCAAACTGTGGTGCCTAAAAAGCAACTCACCTAAGTTTATCCCCTAGGTCTGAGACCTTCTCAGTGAAACCTATAAACAAAAGTATGGGAACATCTGCCTCCAGTATATTAGTTCTGAATTAAAGATGACTAACTTGGATATGTGTATCAAGAACATCATATTGTGATGCAGAAATCTGCCCCCTAGGAATGGGGATATAGCTCAGTTGACAGAATGCTTGCTTTGCATACACAAGGCCCTGGATTCAATCCCCAGCACGAAGGAGGAGGAGGAAGAGGAGGAGGAGGAGGAGGAGGAGAGAAATCTGCTTTGTCCCCTATTGTCCTTGAAAGGATAAAGTCCTGCTTCCTCCTTCCTGATCATCCTATGAGCTAGCTGGTTCCCTCAGCCATGCTCTTCTGCCAAGATGTTCTGCCTCAAATCCAGCTCCGAGGAATTGGAGCTGGCCTTCTAGGGACTAAGGCCTTGGAAACCATAAACCCTCAACTTTTCTTCCCTAATATTGTTCTGGTCAGATCTTTTAGTCACAGCAGTGAAAAAGCTGACTAAAACAACTTTGAATTAAATGGAATTGGAAGTCTTAGCAGCTGCTTAAAATCAAGGTCCCTTTAATATAACCACAGCCAACCACAGGAAGCTCTTGCTCTGAACTTTCCTTATCTGACTGAAGGAAATCTTCAGAAAGAAATGAGCCAGGCGCTGTGGTGCACGCTTGTAATCCCAGCAGCTCAGGAGGCTGAGACAGGCAGATCATGAGTTCAAAGCCAGCCTCAGCAACAGCAAGGCCCTAAGCAACTAACTCAGTGAGACCCTGTCTCTAAATAAAATACAAAATAGGGCTGGGAATGTGGCTCAGTGGTCAAGTATGCCTGAGTTCAATCCCTGATACACCCTGCCCCCAAAAAAATGAAATTGTCTCAAACTCCCTCCTTGAAATTTCATCAAGAAAGGAAAACTAGTCATCAGAGAAGTTTGGCTCTGCTCACTTACTGCTAACCTTTAAAAGGAGAACGTTCTAATTGTTTTAGGAAAGTGCTATGAAGAGCACTCACTGGGCTGGGAGTCAAGAAATCTGGGTTTCAATTCTAATTCTAACTCACTAGGTTTGAATCCTTTCATATGAATAAGAGTCTTAGTTTCCTTGTCTGTGTAAAAAGGAGCTGAATTAAATAGGTTCTCAAAACTGGAAAACCAGGACCTCTTTGAATCTAGTTACATGGTTTTATGAAAGGGCCTCTGGAGGATCTGGTGTTGTAGCTAAGTGGTAGAGCACTTGCCTAGCATGTGTGAAGCATTGGGATCAATTCTCAGCACCACATATATAGAAATAAAGATCCATTGACAACTAAAAAATAAAAATAAGATTTTTAAAGGGCCTCTGGAGACCATGTAGTTCTCTACACACAACCTCACTTTCCAAACAAAGCAGCTCAGGGGAGTTCAGTAACTTTAGTCAACTTTTCCTTATTTTTTTCTTTTTGTAGTGGGGATTGAACCCAGGGACAGTTTACCATTGAACAACACCCGCAGCTCTTTTTATATTTATTTTTGAGACAGGCCTCATTAAGTTGCTTGAAGACTCTGTTGAGGCTGACCCCAAACCTGCAATCCTCCTGCCTCAGCCTCTGAGTCGCTGGGATGAGAGGCGTGCACCACTGCGCCCGGCTCCAGCCAGCTTTTAAACACCCATTTATCAAGGAGATTCATTTTGTAGCATGTGCTCTGGAAGCCAGACATGCATGTGATTTTCAGACAGCGTGGGATTCAGAACTATACAGTTAGGTCAGAAGATGGCAGACATCAGGCAACAACCATCAGGGTGCTTGAACTCCTAACAAATCCCATAATACAGCAAGAGTTCTAATCCCATGAATCCCATGATTACTACTACTCCTCCCTGTTGAGATGATTGCCAGAGGGAGCAGCGCGCGCAAACCTCTTTCTGAAGTCAATCCCAATCCAGGCCTCCTCCCGATAGAGCTCCGGCTCCACCCACTGGACTCCCTGGTCCCGCCCATCGCCCGCCTATCCTGTTTCCGCCGTGGTTGCCTTGGTGATCTCTGACGCTTAGGCCGCGTCCGGAAGTCTTTTCTCGGCTGACTGGCCCAGACCCCGGGAGACTCTTGTTGCTATGGTGATCGCCCGTTCTGCCTGTGAGCGGGACTCTTTCCAATATCAGCTCCGCCCAGACCCCACCCCCGACGTCCGGGATTCGTCCGACGCTCGCCAACCCCGCGTTGCCCCTGTTGCCGTGGTGATCACGGGGCGGGGGGCGCGCGCTGCGCTACCAGGCCGCGTCGACCTCCGAACCTTCGCAGGCTCTCTGGGTAAGTCGGCTCTCCTCGGTCTCGGTGCGGGCACGTTCCAGAGGCTAGGGTCGCAAGGTCTCAGGGTTCCCCCCGCCTGCTTCCTACTCCCAGAACTTATGCGCGGTCTGCCAGCCTTTGGCCTGGGGCCAGGCCCATTCTGGTCCTGAAGGGGAGCGCGGTTAAATGAAGAACAACAGACTGACCTTGGTCAGGGCCACCCTACAGGGAAGAGGGAGCCCCGGACCGGAAAATGATGTGGAGGGCTTTGAGTAGGCTTTGAGGGACCAGACTCTGGGTGGGATGAGGACTTTCTGGAAAAAGGCCTGAAACATGAAAATCCCCAGACCAGTCAGCCTTCATCCTTTTAAGACTGGGAGCAGGGGACTCACTCTCCCTACTCTGCTTTCATTACCTGAGCTGTGATCCTCATCCTGGCTTTTGTGCAATGCCTCACCCCAGAGAGTTAAGCTCAGCGAAAGAGCCTCTCCTGCTTAGACACCTGTCAAGAAGAGACCCATGTTTTCTGATTCCCAGGCAGAGTCCAGCAGGCCTGAGTCCCTCACACTGTGCTGCCTGCAGATTGAAAGAGATGCCCTGACTTCTTATGCCCCATTGGCCTTTTCCCCATATTCCTTACAGAAGGTGGTTTAGATCTGGTTTTAAAACGGATGAAAAGTTAGGCAGAAACTCCTAGGTATACATCTTTGGGGATTTGCATGACTCCCTAATTCTTGTCAAGATGAAAATTTACAAATTTAAAGTTTTGGTTCTTTTTCTTTTTCTTTTTGAAAACCCAGGAGGGCTCAACCACTGAGTCGCAATCCCAAGCCCTTTTTATTTTTATTTCTTTAAATTTTGAAACAGGGTCCTACTAAGTTTCTTAGGGCTTTGCTAAATTGTTGAGGCTGGTTTTGAACTTGGGATCCTCCTGTCTCAGCCTCCCCAGTTCCTGGGATTATAGTCATGCACCATTGCACCCAGCCAAATTTAAAGATCTTAATTGGTGTTATTTGCAAGTGATCCTAGAATCCAGCAACACATCTTTCTATAAAATAGAATGAGTGTTCTGATGAGCTAAGCAGGAGAAGTTGTTTGTTTGTTTCCCCTCTTTTTGTTTTGAGACAGTTTCTCCATGTTGCCCAGGCTGGTTTCAAACTTCTGAGCTCAAATAATCGTCCCACTTTAGCCTCCAGGCTGGTACTAGAGGCCTGTACCACCATAGCCAGTGGATTAGAGGTTAGTTTAATAGGCAGAAAAGTACTGAAGAAAGCAGAAACAGGACAAAAAACAGATTAGTTTCAAGTTACCAAGGTTAAAATGGAGGGACTTCCATATCATCCTGACTCAGGTAAACTGGGCCCCTTTGGATTAATTGCTATGAATCTCATGGTGATTTTGTTGTTGTTGTTGTTTGCTTTTTTGTTTTGTTTTTGACAACTGATTGTTTCAGAGTTCAGTTTGATCACGTGGCACCTAACACAAGTGACTACATTCTGGTTTGGTCTGATCTGCTGAGGCCTAGTGCAAGGAGGCTAATCCAAAATGATGGGCTCCTATAAATTTTATTTAAAACTCTCTTTCCTCTGTTTGAGTCCACAGGACTCTGGAAGAATGAGGTCTTCTCTGATGCCTTTGGGGCCCCCTGTGAGCCGGGACCGCATCATCACCAACTTTCCTAAGGTAGAGAGTCATTAGGCCAGTGCTTTTTGTCTACATTGCTCTCCTGACCCTGAGGCCATGCCCGGATTTCCTCAACTTACCGTCACCCCCAGAAATCAAGCAGGTGAATCCAGGAGATCTTTCTTCTTGAGCACCTGGAAAACTGAGTATTGACTTGCCCAAGGCAGACTAGTGGTGACAGGGAGCTGCAGTGTGGATGAAGATTATAAATCAGACAGTTCTAGGTGTGAATGCTGATTTCTTCATTAAATGTGTGACCATAGGCAAGTTACACAATTTGGAGCCACTGTTACATAAGGATGAACATCTCATGTTGGAATGGTTGTTGTTGTTCTCATTATTGTTACTGTTACCAAAATAGCATTCCAGTGACTGGGGGTGTCACTCAGTGGTAGAGCACTTGCATAGCATGTGTGAGGCCCTGGATTCAATCCATCATACCACCAGAGAGAGAGAGAGAGAGAGAGAGAGAGAGAGAAACAGTGTCTGTGTTTGTTAATACATGACAGAAAATATTTCTGGAAGATTAAAACTCTGCCATCAGTTGATCGGTGTTTGAGTGTGGCTTGGTACAAGCCACCAAATGGCCTTTTGTATATTTTGGAATCTGTGCCAACCTGTAGGCTCTGGGTGTTTGGGGTCTGCAGCTATTCCTTCTCCCGCCTTATTCACCTTCCCCAATAAGTTTGTTCTCCACACACTCACAGACCTTGGACAGTTCTGCTGGGTTTTCCATTGCAACAAAGCTTGGGCCATTGCTTTCTCTATGGAGCTTGACAGTGGTAACTAGGGATGGTGGAGACTGGTATTTCATGAACTGAAAGGAAGGGAAATATGATTGGCACAAAACAGTCCAAGTTTCATGGGAGGAAGTACATATTGATCAAGACAATGAGGCTCAGAGAGGTAGAGAAGTTTGCATGACATCACACAGCCCAGAGTGGCAGAGCAGGGATTCAACCCAGCTACTTCTGGTTCCAGAATGCCCCACCCTAGGGAGGCAACCTGGGGCATCTGTTCTCCTTCTGCCTACAGTAGTTAGGATCATAGGCCATTGCTGGCCAAGCCTATCCTGTACCTCAGGGCCACAGCACTTCAAACCTGAGGAATTCCCAGTCAGGTTGTATTGGGTCCACATAGTGCTACCCTTTACTCTGTGCCTCAGTTACCCTGTCTCTAAAATCGGCTCACTAAAATTGGCTACTTTGCAGCCTATGATATGACAGGAAATAGGGAAAGCCAATGAGGCTGCCAGGCTCAAGGCTCAGGGGGAGCACTGGGAAGTAGGTAAACCCACAATGCCCAGCTCAGGTGACAGGGCTGTTGTAGCTTTGCAGGATGGTGTGCCTGTCTGTGTATTTGTCTGTTTGTCTCTTTGTAGTGGTACACACCTGATGCCTGCCTGCAGCTCAAGGAGCACTTCCACGGGCAAGTCAGCACAGCCTGCCAGCGCAGGAACACGGGGACTGTTGGGTGAGCCTGTGGGATGTGAGATGTTGGGAGAGATGACCAGAAGGAACAAATGCAAGTATGAATTTAAAAATGAACAAAGAAAACACATGGACTAGACTGACACAGTCCAGTACTGGATTTCTTGTCTGGCTTTACTTGACACACATTGCCATTTCCTTTTCTCGGAATCTCATGCAGGTGATTTTTCATCCTGAGGTCTCAACACAGGTTCATTTCCACTGTCTATAACATCTTTCTTTCTTTCTTCCTTCCTTCCTTCTTTCCTTCCTTCCTTCCTTCCTTTCTACTGGGGATTAATCCCAGGGGCTCTTAACCACTATGCCACATCTCCAGCCCTTTTTATTTTTTGAGACACAGTCTTGCTAAGTTGCTTAGGGATTCGCTGAGTTTCTGAGGCTGGTATTGAGCTTGTGATCCTCTTGCCTCAGCCTCCTGAGCCACTGGGATTACAGATATGCACCCCGTACCTGGCTGAAACATCTTTCTTACTCTTGTTGCCTCCCCTTCCTCTTTGGTTTTCTGTGACAGTTCCTTTGGAAGCCTAATCTGATCCTCTGCTCCCACTGTCCCTCATCCTAAGCCACTGAGTGGGGTGCCCTTCCTGTGAATTCTTGAAGCCCAAGAACTTATCTAAGGGCTGTTTTGCCTGTTTGTATTCCTCACTAGAGGTATCCCACAAGGGCCAGGGATATGCCTCTTATGTTCCTATCTCAATAGTACTTATCACTACTGGCACAGGATTTTGCAGTTGTTCTTTCTTTTAAATAACAGGTATAGGGGCCTGCTCACAGTCTGCTCAGGGAGTTGGCTGTGCTCACAGATATAGTGAGACCAAAAGAGAGCCCAGCTCAGAGTTCCCCAGAATTGCACAAAGGGAGTGAAAGTTCAAGTCAGAATGGTCAAAGGGGCCATGCCATGCTCATGGGGTGAGAGTCATGTTCTGAATCCCTGACCCCTCATGACCACACCAGAGGTAGGAAGAAAAAGGTACTGAGGGTACCTGCCATAATACTGGTAATATCTTTACTTCTCAGTTTGAATAATGGAGTCAGGGTCAGCCTATTCCAGAAGAAGAGGGCTTCCTGGAAGCAGGGTAGACACAGTCCCTACCCTCACCAGATGTGGTAAATTGAATTGTAGGTCAGGTCACCAGGTAACACAGAGGTGCTCTCTTGCAGTCTACAAGCATGGGAAGTGCCTATTTGATGTTTCCCTGGGTTGGTTGCTTCAGCCCTTGATATCCTTTAGAATGAGCTACAGAAAGAAAGTGTTGTCAACAGTCCCAAATATGCTGCTTCCCAGATTACAGGACATATACACATATATAGTAAGGGTGTGGCTGCTCTCAATAAGCAGTGTCCCCAAGGAGCCCAACAACTTCATAGCAAATTTGCCTCAAGCCACAGCTCAGATGTGCACACCCTGAGTTCTCTTCATGGCGTACCTCTTGGCCTGTTTGAGTCTTGCACACATCTCCAGGTGAGTAGGTGACAATGGTTCCTGGTCAGGGATTATCTGCTTATAGTGAGCTTAGTCCATGTAGGTACACATTCCCAGAGGGTACATAGCAGGAAACAGAAGCTGCAACCCACCCCTTGTGTCCGTGTCTCCCCACTCTTGGGCCCCATGTCTGCATCCTCAGTGTGGCACCCTGCCATCCCCAAATTAGAGGTACCCATCATTCTTGGTTACCATAGCCCCACTTGTACTCCCACCTCTGCCCCCTTAGCCTATGACTCAGCCTCTCCTCATGCCCATTTCTAATTCTCAAGACAGTGATTTTGGCTAAGAGGGGTCAAGGGTACATCCCTAGGGTAAGCAGAGTTTCCAAAACAAATGTAGGCTTTCTCACTCTTCCCTTTGAAGATCAGGGAGGGAGAACAAAAGGCTCGGCAGTGTGGCCCATGCTAAATTCAGAATTGAGGGGTGACTCACTGCAAAGAACTCAGGGAAGGAAAGAGTTGTGTGTGCTGAAGACACTCTTGAAACCATGCTCAAGGGTGACACAGACATATTTCTCCCAGGCTCAAACTCTCCAAGGTGGTGGTTGTTGGTGACCTCTATGTGGGAAAGACCAGTCTCATCCACAGGTAAGGCCATGTCATCTCCTTCCTACCCAGTCAGGTTGACCACACTTCCCAGGTTGTCACCTTTTATTTGGGAGGCCCACCTTATCACAGTGGGGACTGTGTGGCTGCTGAGAACTAGCCTCAGTCTGGTGGGAGCCAGGTGGGGAAGGGGCAAGAAACTGGGGAGATGATGAGGTTGACAGACAGTAGGGCAATCCAGGAGCCTGGGATTATTCACACTGTTAGGACCCTGGGCTAACCCTTTCACTGCCGTCCCTGAGAATAAACCCTTAGTTTCTCTCACTGTTCTAATTTACAGTGTTTGCCTTTGAGGCTGCCATAGCCCCTCTTCCCCTACCTTGTTCTTATTGGCTGCTCTGTTGCCACAGTTTAAATAATTGTCCCCATGTGTTAAAAGCTTGCTCCCCCACCTATGGTACTACTGGAAGGTGGTAGAATATTTAAGGGTCTCTAGATTACTGGGAGCATGGCCTTAGTGGGGATAATGGGACCCCCACCCCTTCTTCCTTCTCTCTTTCCCTTCCCAGCCATGAGGCGAGTGGTTTTGCTCCACCACATGCTGCTGCCATGATATGCTGCCTTGCCACAGGCCCAAACAGAGGGGCTGATATCATGAACTGAAAGCTCTAAAACTGTGAGCCCAAATGAACCTTTCCCCTAAGTTGATTATTTCAGGTGATTGTTTAGTGACAGAGAGCTAACACACTTGTTTGTCTGCAACCTCTGCAGATGGTCCCTTCTTTATCAGTTCCCATCATTGTACTTTATTTGCCTCCAGACGTAGTGTCACTATCAAGAGCAAAGCTTCCATGCCCATTTCTGTGAAGATACTTCTCTGATAGCTTTATTGCCTCCAACAGGTTTTGCAAGAATGTTTTTGACCGAGACTACAAGGCTACCATTGGGGTAGACTTTGAAATTGAACGCTTTGAGATTGCTGGGATTCCCTACAGCCTCCAGATGTAAGTTGCTGTTGTGGGTGCTGATTCTCACATGACTTATGTGTGGACTTTCAGGAGGTGCCTGGGGAAAATGTTGGCCAGCTCATTCTCATTTGTACCCCATGGTGCTCAGCAAGGACCCATCTGGACAAGCAGAGCCTGGAGTGGTTGAGAGAAATCGGGTTTTACAGCTCCCTGAGTTCCCAGATCCTCCCTCAGTCCCAGGAGTTGTTCTGTGTTGGTGATCAGATCTGGGGAAGGTCTTCACAGCCTGACTTTCCCACCCATCTCCAACCTCCCCTGATTGCCTTCTGCTCTTGCTAAGTCTGGTCCTGCTCCTAGACTCTAGCAAGCCCTTCCCCAATCTGGACCTCCTGTGATTCCACAGAAAGTAAGGTAGCATTGATAAGCCTCTGTATGCAGCAATAAAATGGGACCAAATCCTGTCCCTGTGTGCAGGCTTGGACAAAGAGGGTTCTGGCAGAGGCTACACTGTCCACACCTCTCTCTCAGGTCTGATGTGCTCATCTTCCTCCTCATACATTTCCCTCAAGTAACTTCTGCTCCCCCTGCTACTCTTTCCTTCTATTTCTGTCTGTCTCCTTTCCTGCCTAACCCCATGCCTCTGCTTCTCTGTGGCCTACTAGTTTCAACTCCTCCCTTTACTTTCTCTCACAACAGCCCAGGGTCTACCCAGGCTTACCTTGGCCCAAAGTGGTACATTCTCTGGACCTTGCCTTTCACTCCTCTGGCACCTGAAAGATGCCACAGACCTTGTTCAGGCTCCAGGCCCCCGCAGTATCCTGAGCAGCCCCTCTCTCTTCCCTGCTCTCCTGCATGATGGCCACTGTTTTCTTCTTGCCCGTTGGCATTAACCAGGCCTGTCGTGGTCCCCTTCCCTTTCTTCATCCCCCAGTCCTCTGTGCCCTCTCTAGGCTAGGCCTGCAGATCCTGTGAATGTCAGCTCCCAGCTTATTGAGGCAGTGTCCTAGTGCTATCCTAGAGCCAGATGATATCACATCTTGTCCAAGGGACAGTACAGAGTCAATCCAGAGCAAAAGAGGCTGTGAAAATCAGGGCAGTAAGACTGAGGGATCTAAAAAGGTGAGAAGGACAAAGAGCCAGGTGTCCCACATGGAGCCATGCAGAGAGGGACTAGTGGCTGGTTTCTCATTATAGCAACAGGCTATATCTAATTAAAGTTGCCAGAACAAAACAGCGTTACTGTCCTACTGCAGCCTTTCTTACATTGAGGTTGTTACCAGCCACCCAGCTGGCCCTATCTCTAAGTCCAACCCCAACTCCCCAACCAGAATCTACTCCAGAAATGAAAGAAGATAGCCAAAAAGTCTGCATCGTGCTGGATCACTTGAAAAAAACTTTTAGATCATTGATGTCATGTCTGTGGTTTATTTTACTTTTCAATTCACTGAGAAAAGTTAAATTTTGATAAGTTGGCTTTAAAAAGGTATTGGGAGCTGGGTATGGTAGCATATGCCTGTAATTCCAGTGGCTCAGGAAGCTGAAGCAGGAGGATCACAAGTACAAATACAGCCTCAGCAATTTAGTGAGACCCTGTCTCATAAGGAAATATAAAAAGGGACTGGGGATGAGGCTCATTGGTTAAGTGTCCCTGGGATCAATCACTAGTACCAAAAAAAAAAAAAAAAAAAAAAAAGGATTCAGTGTTGAATTTCAGGCTTATCCCTGCATATTGACCACCTGCCTTGTTCTAAACCAGGGCAAATAGATCTCAGCATGTGCCTCCCGAACTTCTATATCATGCCTATGGTAAATAGCATTAATTTATTGTGGCTCAGCTTCTAAGTCCATTTCAATGTGTTACTTTAAAGAGCCAGAGGGATAATTGATCAGAGTTACCCAGGGGATACAAATCACATCCCTGTTAGACATACCTGGTAACTACAGTCTGGAAGGTGAAGCAGTGCCCCAGTCACACATGAGCAAGTGGCAGAGGGCCATGGCTGAAGGCCTGGCCTGGAACCCAGCACCATTCACAGGGAGTAAGCCACACCACACTATAGAGCATATGTTCCTTTTTTTTCTAAATTAATTAATTTATTTTATTTGTTCTTTTTGACATATTATTACATATATGGAGTACAACTTATTCTAATTAGGATCCCATTCTTGTGGTTGTACATTATGTGGAGTTACACTAGTCATGTATTCATATGTAAACATAGGAAAGTTATGTCTGATTCATTCTACTGTCTTTCCTATTCCCAGCCCCCCTCCCTTCCCTTCATTCCTCTTTATCTAATCCAATGACATATGTTCCTTTTGAATGTCACAATCAGAAGAGACTGAGCTGTAACTCCATTCATCTGGGCAGTGGAACTGCTAAGGCCATGCTCTCCCCAGTAGCACTGTGAATCCGGTGAGAATTCTTCGCTGGAGGGATCATCAGGATCTGGTGGCAGGGATAGTTGGCTCATATAAGCCCTTTCTGTAGCCCACACTGTTGACACAACTGGTGCAGGTCCTTGGGTCTCCCTCCATGATACTACTGGCCTGGAGGGTCAGATTACTATAATTGCTTAACCTGCTACCATTTTCCTTTCTCTTTCCTCACTGCACAGCTGGGACACAGCCGGACAGGAGAAGTTCAAGTGCATTGCATCTGCCTATTACCGAGGTGCCCAGGGTAAGTAATGTTACAAGGGTGGAGCCCTCAGCCATGTGCAGCATGGGGCTCCCTGCTGTGCTTAATAGCAGGAAACCTAGGTTCTTTGCACAGGCCACTGAGAAAACACTCCAGCCAGTGCTTGGGAGTGAGGAAGCTGCCTTCAAGGCAGGGCCTTGGCTAGCTTTGGCAATGATGCTTTTTTTAGGGAGCCTGTGATGGTGAGTGCTGGCTGTCTCAGTTCCAGTTTTCAGCTCAGGAAAGGATGTTTTTGTCAAGGGGTCCCAGAAAAGAGGGTAGCATCAGACTCTGTGGTAGGTAGAGAGAGAGACTTGTCCTGCCTTGTTAGGAGAAGGCTATGCCAAAGAAGAAGAATGAAAGGGAGACCTTGACAGGAATGGAAGGTCCTAAGTAGGGGTCAGCAGCATTGGTAGGGCTCAGCAGAGGCAGCAGCATAAGCTTTTCATGCCAACCTTAGCTTCCCAGGAAAAAGATAGAAGTGGATTTCAGTGGGAGGTATAAGAATTGTCAAAAGGATACCAAACCAGACTCAAAGTATAAGTCACAATTAGGCCTACTCAGTAGTGGTGAAAGAATTCAGATGTTTCACTCAGGTTTGAAAGAAGCAAAAACAGAAGCAAATCATAAGCAACTCACCTAGGATTAGAGCTATAGTTTGGCGATGTTGACTGTGGCCTCTAGTAAACTTTACCTCCCAGATCTCTTTTCCTTGAGGGATGCTGCCTCCCTGGGGCTAGAGATGTGAGACACCTGGCACAGCTCTGCAATCAGCAGCTGGGCTGCCATTATCCCCATCATCAATGTCCTCCATTTCTCTATTCCTCTCTGCCTTAGGAGGGCCATCAGCCATCAGCCAAGGTGCAGAGGTATCCTCTGTTCAGCTTGCTCACATCCCAAGGGGTGGGTAGTAGAGAACAAATATTTGCCTGGAATGTCCTCCACGTGGGCTTCCCCTCAGGAACCACCTCAACACCATGGGCCTAAGAGAGTACCAGTGACAAGACGAGCTGACAACAGGGTTGCACATCCCAGTTTTCTGCTCATCTGACTCCCTAGAAGTTGTTTCCATTGAGCTGGTTGTTGCTAATTATCATCATAGCCATAGGTTGAAACTGTGACCAGGCTCTAAACTAATAGTTTTCAAAATAGCTGCCCTTATTTGCCCTCACAGCATCCCTGAGAGCTAGAGGTATCATTCTGACCATTTTACAGATGGGGAAACTGAGGCTCTCAACCATTAAGACTCTTGCCCAGGCTCCCTTCTCCATAAGTGGCAGAGGGTATCTGTTGCCAAGGCCACATGCTCCTGTCTCCTCATCCTACCTCCTTGGATTCCTCCCTGAGACTGTGCTGCTGGGTATAGGTAGCAGGAGGGCAGATCCTGGAGGGAAGCCATAGGGAATTTCCTCCCCAGCCTCTACTTTGGGGTTCAGAGCCAGAAGCTATGTTGGCAGTTCCTTGGGTTCTGTAGATGTGTCTGAGGGGAGCCCCTTTTTCATACTTTGTTGGCTTCACTTGTTACTGATTGGCTATTGGCTTTTCCCTATGTGTCTAGTGATCATCACAGCCTTTGACCTCACTGATGTACAGACTCTGGAGCATACCAGGCAAGTAATCCTGGACTCTGTGAATCCTTCAGGCCACCTAAGTTCAGGAACCTGCCTAGAAGAACTCCCTAAACCTGGCCACTAGGGACCCCCAAAATGGATTTAAGTGACCAGGCTCATTTGTCAGAACCAATTGCCCATAGGCCACCTACTGTTCAGTTGCCTTTTTATCCCTCAAGATCTGTCCTCATCTGCTACTCAGGGGTATATAACCAATGCAATTGCACCACAGCTCTTGCTCCAAAAGACCCACATTTGCTTTAATACCCTGCTGTCAGGCTGGAGATGTGACTCAGTGGGAGAGCACTTGACTAACATGCATGAGACCCTGAGTTCAGTCCCAACACCCCACTCCCCCAAAAATGCTCTGCCACTCTGCTATCACATCTTGAGTGTTCTAATCATTTCTGAATGAGGAGTCCTCTCTGTTCCCTTTTCCCTAGGCCCTGATAATTTCAGAGCCAGCCCTGTCTTGAAGGAACATGAATTTGGTACTTGTTGTCTTAGAAGAAACATGGGCAATGTCACCAATTCCAGGAGGCCATCCTGCATCTGCCAGGAACTAAAGCCCCCTCACCCTTCATTTGTCTGGAGGCGTTCACATCCAAAAACCTCCAAAGCATGTGAGGGAGGCAGGAATGCATTCCAGTTGATAAAGTGCAGGACCCACCCAAGGTCTCAGAGGATGAGGATGGGCTCTTCATCTCCCTGTGACTAGTGCTTTTGTATTGCCAATCCCCTCTGGTCCTACAAAAGTCTTTCTGTCTATAGGACCAGAATCCCCACTAAGCCAGTGTGGGCCAAAGCACCCTCCCTGAACCTTCCATCTTAGTGCTTCCAGTCCTGGGGAGGAGTCAAGTCTTGACCTTGTCCTCTGGTCCTCAAGACATGAATGGGTGGGTGGCATCTCAGGCTGTCTTCCCTCTGTGCATTCCAGGCAGTGGCTGGAGGATGCACTAAGGGAGAATGAGGCAGGCTCCTGCTTCATCTTCCTCGTGGGAACCAAAAAGGACCTTCTGGTAAGCAGAGCAGAGCTGGAGGCCTGGGTGGCCCTCAGGAAAATTCCTACACATTCAGCTCAAGTTTGAGGAGTGGGGGTGGCACTGACATAAAAAGCCTTGGAATTCAAAGACTGCAGGCCTTGGAGCTGAAAGTCAGGGGAACTCAAGTTCCCTGTGCTATTTCCTAAGGGAGGGACAACTGGCACTCATATTTGCCTGTTCAGTGTGCTCATACCACTGAGGTGTCATCCCTGGGCAAACAGCATCTCTGCCTCACCTTCCCTAGGTGACCTGGGGAGGGAGGTGGCACAATGAAAGGGAACCGCTGCCTACCCTTAGGGGCATCCCTATAGAAGGGCCAGGACACTGGGTCAGTGAATACTGCTTCTTCCAGTCAGTAGCAGCATGTGAACAAACTGAACTGGAGGCTGTGCACCTGGCCAATGAGATGCAGGCTGAGTACTGGTCAGTGTCATCCAAGACTGGTGAGTAGGACAAGGGGCCATCATCATGGGGGGAGTGTGGGCTGTTGTGGAGCCAGTTCTGCAGGACTTGCTGTGTCACAGAGATTCTTGCCTTTTCTTTTGCATCTCTGACCATGCTAGTATCACGGCACAGCTGTACTGGTGACTGACAGCAATTTCCATTGCCTGAGAGGAGTCTCTTCCTCTCTGGAAGGACACTGGGAGGCCCCTATCGTGGGTGAGAGGAATAGCAACCTCTGGCCCTTGCCTCACCGGCATGTTTTTCAACACAGCCCCCATGGCTATCCATAGGTGGTCTGACCCTGGCCATGCTGGGTCCCCCAGAACCAGGCAAGATGCCCAACATCTTCTGGTCTTAAATCTCCTTAGCTGAGAAGCAGAGTGATGCCATCCATCTCATTTTATTTTTAATGAAATAACATGATTTACATTATAAAAGCCATATGTATTTATTGAAGAAAAATTAGGAAATCCTTCTCTAAGCAAAGAACAAACTTTGAAAGCAGGTTTCTGGGGAGATTGAATGAAAGAGCATGCAGTGCCTGGCATATAGTAGACTGCAGAGGCTTTCAGGACTTAGGATTTGGGCCCAATAGTCCTTGCCCTGGCCAAGCAGAGACAATGGACATCTGGCCCCAGACTGAGTGAGAGCCAAGGGTAGAAGAACCATCATTGGCCCACCATAAATGCTTGGAAGTACCTGTGCCTGGTGCCCTCTGTTCCATCCCAACAGTGTCCCTTCTGCCCTGTGAAGACCCTCCTTTATCAGGGTAACCTCAGGTTCACTGAGACCTCACTATAGACCAAGCCAGAGGGCCCTGTGCTGTTATGTAGGTTGTGAACTGCACAAAGGCAGTGTTCCTATTGGGTGCTGGAGCCTAGTCTGCTTCCTGATGGGCAGTTGCCTCTACCTGGAAGAGTACACACAAAGGCTCCATACTGAGGGCCAGCAGCATGTGGAAAGTTACAGGAGAGCAGTCACAGGTTTGTCCTGAACTCTGCCTGTGCCAGCACCTGGCCCATAGCAGGTGCTCAATTGCAATTGATTAGAAGCGTAGATGCTAGGGAATGAAGGCTTGGAGGTCTGAGGAAGTAGCCTAGGCAGGCAGCTGGGTCAGGGATGGGGGCTGGAGCCAGGTGGGAAGATAGGGCTGAAGCCAGCTGGGGGATACTCAGAGATACTCAGAAAGGGCCATGTGCTGGCATGAGGGTGGGCTATCCTGGCTTCTATGCTCAAATACATTTGGGGGTCAGCTGGGGTCACACAGTTATCTTGTGGGCCCTCAGGAGAGAACGTGAAGGCATTCTTCAGCCGTGTCGCTGCCTTAGCATTTGAGCAGTCAGTACTGCAGGATCTGGAGAAGAGAAATGGCACTTGGCCCCAGGTTGGCGATGGAGACCTCATCCGTACGTACAGCCATGACTAAACATGATTGGGGAGCAGGCTGAAGGCCAAAAATCTATATCCACTCTCCTCCCATCACCCGTTTCCTTAACTTATGGCCCTCCATTGTCTTCTTTGGACCCTCTTCTCTGGGCTGTTGCTCCAGTCTCAGACCTGCAGCCTCCCTAATCCTGCTTTCCAACTCAGACACCTTCTGTGTCATCCTTCCTGACCTCCAGACAGCCTCATAGGGCTCTGCTTTGGTTCTCCTAGTCTCTGCCTTTGCCCACTCTGTTCCACCACCCAGAGTGCCCCTAGGCCTCTTGCCCCAAGCCTCAAACAATAGGCCTAGGAGATAAAGGTCAGGGTACCCACTGACAGAGTGGGTGTGGCCCCTGCCCAGTGTTGGCTGCAGGATGCTTGAATGATACCAACTTACTTTTCCTCTCTACAGGAATGGAGGGGAGCTCACTGGAGACCCAGGAGAACAAGAGGCCCTCCGGCCTGAGCTGCTGTTAGCTTGGGCAAGCATCAGAGGCCTCCACTCCTTGGGTGCATGGGCAGCAGCTCCTGTGACGATGGAGAGGTGACGCGGAGCTTGAACTCTGCAGTATGTCTCCCCTCTAGGTGTAGAGGGCTTGCATTCCCAAGGATCAGCCGTTTTTCTGGCAGATCAGGAGCCACTGACTGCCAGAGCACTCCACACTGCCTACCAAGGGGCATCATGCCTGACTGTGGGTATTTCAGTGAGCTCCTTAAACGGGCAGTCTCACCTTTAGGGTCATCAGAATGTCATCTGTGGCCTTGAGAAGCCTCAGGGCTACAAGCTCAGGACACTCCTGCATTGTCTTACATCTTTCACCCATGGCCCACATCAGCAGTCAACCCTGGCACTCTTTCCAAAGATCTTAGATGTGGCTTCAGAATCCTTCTCATTACAATGTTCCAGGTGACCAGAATTTGTCAAGGAGAAAACCTACTTGCCATCCTACCAGGGAGTTTTCTATTATCAATGGGACATGAAGTTCCAGACCTTGGAACTCCAGGCCTCACTGTGCACTGTTCCTCTGCCACAGACTTCCGGGTTCCTTGGGCAGCCCTGCTCCTCTCAAAGGCAATGGACAAGAAAGTCTCTCAGGTTCCTCCCTAGTACCTCTGAGATCCCCATGGTCCTGCCCTCCAGGTCATTGGGCAACAATGGACAGAACAAGCTGCTCACACGTCTGGCCCATCTAGAGATGAATTTCCTTTGCCATACTGTGAGATGAAGGACTTCATGGCCACTCCTTGGATAACTCATTTCTTATTCCCTGAACTTTATTCTGCCCTGCTCTGGCACTCATGGTCACCACCGTTGCCTTCCTGCCTCTCTCTCTCCCATTGGCCGTATATCTGCAGGACTTTTGTGATCTGACCACTACTCATCTATAGAGGACTCAAGAGACTCTCCAGAGTCTGGCATGTTTCTGACTCCACCATTTCCTCTTGCAAACCCAGAGTAGGCAGGAACACCCCCAGCTCTCTGCCCAGAGTACTTGCCCTCCTCTGTGCCCCTCCTTTTGCTCCTCCATGGGGTCTTTCCTGACCCTCTTCACTGCTATTAACTTTCCCACCCTCCCCATGCCACTCATCTCTGCCCTCTGCTGGTACATCCAGTATCCCTGTCTGCTGCCTGTAGATGGTGAGCATTTTGTAGGCAGCTGTGCTGGTCAGCACCCTTCTAGTGCCTGGCACACCTCATGTGCCCAGTAAATGTTAATTGACTAATAACAATTACCAAACATCAAAATTATAATGAACAATGGCATATTTTTTCTGTTCATTACCTCATTACCTTTTCCCCAGTTTCTCTCTCTACATATGTATGATATATAAAACATATATATATATAAACACTTCTTTATATAAATTGCATTTGAAAAAATTGTGTGCTTACTGTAAAAAAAAAAAAGCAAAACAGTACAAAGCATATGAAATACAGACTTAAAGCCCCACCTCAGGTTGGTTCACTCCTGAAATGAGTCTGGATAACAGTTATTACTATTCCTTCTGAGCTATGTTCTCTTGTGTGCAAACCATGTTTGCTGGCTGGTTTGTTGTTTCTCAGCATGACCTTGTGCTGTACTCCCTGTCTGGCAGGTTGCCTTCCTAATGGCCTGCCTGGAGTCCTCTCACTGTAGGTGCACACTGAGCCTCCTGTTCTTTCAGCAGCTAAATTTTCTTTGGTGTAGACAGATCAAAGTTCATTTTATCAGCCCACAATTTGTGTCCATGTTTTAGCTTTAAGCAGTGGTGCTACAGTGACCATCTTGTAGTTCAAGCTTTGCATACTCCAGATTCCCAAAAGCAGTTTTGCTGGGCCCTTCTCTGAACTGTGGCCCTTGACCTGGTCCACTAGATGTATTTTGATGGGAATAGGGGAGCATGCCACATTGGGGGTGCCTTAGGGAGGACCAGGTTTGCTGGGTGCAGCAGAAAGCTTCACAGGATGGGAGTGGATGGCCTAGGTGGGCTGTCTTTCTCCACAGCTTCTTCCTCTGGCCCCTTCAGGCCCCAGTGGGGGAAGGGGCAATATGGTGTCCTACTGTTACCAACTCCTGAGCTGGAAGCATAATGTCTCTTGTATACCCACACTTCCATAAATGGTCCTTTATTTAACTGACCTTGTATTTCCTACTCTGGTGTGCCAGCTGGTTTCTGTGGACCCTGAATGACAGTAATGGTCTCTCCAATTTCAATATTTGGCCTGGGAGGATGGGAGACTAAGTTCCCCAGGGAAGTGAAATTAAAACAGTGTTGTCTTCATGTGTTTGTGCTGCTACAACTGAATACCATAGACTGGGCAAATTGCTATTATTATTGTTATCATTATTAGTACTGGGGATTAAACCCAGGGGCACTTAATCACTGAGCCACCTCCGCAGCCCTTTTTATTTTTTATTTTGAGATAGGGTCTCGCCAAGTTGCTCAGGTCCTCACTAAGTTGCTGAGGCTGGCCTTGAACTTGCTATCCTCCTTCTTCAGTCTCCTGAGCTAATGGGATTATAGGCTTGCACCACCATGCCTGGTTAGATGGGCAAATTATAAACTATAGAAATTTATTTGGCTAATAATCCTTGTGGCTGGGAAGTTTAAGAGCCACATTATAACATGGCAGACAGACGAGAGAGCACATGCCAGCAGAAGCCAAGATGACTTCATGAGGCCTAAACACTTCTCATTAGGCAATACCTCCCAACAATGTTACACTAGGGATTAAGCTTCACAGTGAGTTCTGGAGGAGATAATCAAACCATATCAAGCAGGCAGGGGTGGAGCTCAGGGAGAGCACTTGCCTAGCATTCATGAGGCCCTGGATTCCATCCCTAGCACTACAAAACAAAACAGAATGTGTCTTCTCAGAATCAGTCCAGGTGGTTCTCTTTGATACAAAGACATTCTCTTCAAACATCTCCATATTTAGCTGAGCATAGTGGCATATGCCTGTAATCCCAGCAGTTTAGGAGGCTGAGGCAGGAGGATTACAAATTCAAAGCCAGTCTCAGCAATTTAGCGAGGCCCTAAGCAACTCAGCAAGACCCTACCTATAAATAAAATATTTCTAAAGGGGGCTGGAGAGTGGGCTGGGACTGTAGCTCAGTGGTAGGGCGCTTGCCTAGCAAGAGTAAGGTACTGGGTTCCATCTTCAGCACCACATGAAAAATAAATAAATAAAGGTATTGTGTCCATCACAACTAAAAATTATTTTTAAAAGGGGGAGGGCAGGGGCTGGGATTGTGGCTCAGCAGTAAAGCGCTTGCCTAGCATGTGTCAGGCCCTGGGTTCAATCCTCAGCACCACATATAAATAAATAAATAAAATAAAGATTTTTTTTAAAAAGAGGGGTGCAGCTGGAGATGTGGCTCAGTGGTTAAGGCCCCCTGGGTTCAATCCCAAGTACCAAAAAAAAAAAGTAAATAAAAATCTCAATATATTTTTTAAATTTTTTCACAATACTTTTATTGATTTACTTTTATGCGGTGCTGAGGATCAAATCCGTTGCCTCATGCGTGCCAGGCATCACTGAGCCAGAACCCCAGCCCAAAAAAATCTCAATATTTAACAGTAAATTTCTGAGGCAGAGACAGTCTCTGTGAACCTGGTCCTGCAAACCTGAGCAAGCAGTCCCTGCAGCGATGTGATGGCACAATGAGGACCATATCCAAGTGCTTCAGAGATGTCTTTTTTGTCTTCTCTGGTTCCGCTGGCACCTTCCCTTCTCACTATCTGTCCTCTGTCCATCTTTCCATTCTTTGTCTCTTCTGCTAGAGACCCCTTCCTGTCCCCTTCTAACAGATGAGAAGTCTGAGCATTTTTATATTCCTGGTCTCTCTTTTGCCTCTGCCCCCCACACACTGGGGTCTGATCCCAGTAGGAATGACACTACAGGTGGCCTTACCTTGAGGCTCTGTATCCTTTACACATGTATACCCTAGTCGGGTGTTCCTAGTACCCCAGTGCCCAGAGTTGTAACTGGAAAAGGGATTTATTTGCATGGTCCAACTATACCCAGGATTCCCTACCTGAGCCTTCCCACCTCACAGCCTACTCTCTGTGCCCACACAGTGTTAGGCAGTCCTCCACCAAATCCACAGCCATGGTGACACAGGCTCCACAGTGACTTGAGAAGACCCCTCTCAGTCTCCTTCAGTCTTATGACCTGGCTGCCACATCCTCTTCCCAGCTCTGCTAGAGGCCACAGGGCTTGTTCCATTTTACACTTCAGCCTGTAGGATGGAATGGATACCATTCCCAGATGAACCTCTCTCTCCAGAAGGTCCCAGGGTATTTTAAGTCAGGAGACCTAAGGTCACCTAGGATAACTGAACATAGAGGTGGCAGAAAACTGGTTAAAACTGCCATGGTTAGCCAGGCACAATGGTGCATGATTTTAATCCCAGCAACTCTGAAGGGGTGGGGCAGAGGATTGCAAATTCAAGGCCAGCCTCAAGAACTTAGTGAGACCCTGTATCAAATTAAAAAAAAAAAAAAAAAAGAGCTGGAGATTGTGGGTCAGTAATAAAGCACATTGAGTTCAATCTTCAGTACCCAAATCAATCAATCACATGGTCACATATTCATTCTTACTCATTAATAAGTTCTTAGAGCTTCCTTTCCAGCCTGATCCTCTGTATTCTTCCATTTATTCTTCCCAGAGCCTACACAGGGGATGCCAGCACAGCCCCACCTCACAAGTGAGCTAAAGTATAGAGAGGAATATGACCTCTGGGGCTATGCAGGCCCAGCTGGACCAAGGGGCAGCTCAGTCCAATTCTCACAGCCTTGAGCCCCTGGAGATACTCGTAAGCCTGGGAGAGAGAGCACTTGGTGATAGAAGAGGTCCACAGCATGGATGAGAAAAGGGCTGTGGGAAGAGGGCTCTCCAAAGAAGAAACATACAGCTCAGAAAGAGGCCCCTCCTCTTTGGGGAAAGAAGAGAATCTGGGTGGGCCCTGGACTCCACCCAAGAAGCCCTCAGCTTGGGCACTGTCCTGAGATAGGAACCCCTCCCAGCAGTTCCCAGGGCTCCTCTGCCATCTGCTGTGGCATCCCCATGTCATATCCCATATGTCAGACCTTCCCCTGAGGGAAGTTGATGGACAGATGGGAAGTGTGGCTGTCATACCATCTCCTTCCAGGCAGAGCAAATTCTACCTGGCCTCCTCCCCCTCTTCCCGATGCCTCCCTGGCATTCAGGGTCACCAGCCATCAGTCTGAACCTCTGCCCCTAGCAGGTACAAAGCTCTGGCCCTGGGCTGCTGTGGGCAGGCCTTTCACTCAGCTTGCCCATCACCAATCTTCAGGACACAGACTGGATAGTCTAGGTAGGGCAAAGCAGGCCTGGGGCTCCCTCTTCCCCCACAGGTGAGAAGCACCCTTGGCCTGACAGTGCTCTGGGCCACTAACCACTGGAAGTCATAGCCTGGACCACTGACCACACCTTCAGAAACAAGCTCATCTCACCCAGGCCCCTCCTCTCCCTGCCTAGGCTGGAAATAGCAGTCAGGAGATTCTTCTGGGATTGTAACGGCTGCAGAGCCCTCATCAATAATTGATTCTGCAGAAGCAGTGGATTAAGTGCTGAGAAGAGGTCTCAAAGCCCTAGGCCCCAAGTCAGGAAGGAAGAGCCCACACCCTCACTCAGTCAGAACCCCAGCCAGCAGCTCCAGCAAGAGCTCATTTCTCTTTTAGCAAAGATGTCCTACAGAGATCCCTATTCCCCACTCTGGGTCAGGGGTCAGTGAGCCTGGAAGAGGTGCCCCAGAAAAGCACTGTCTAGCACAATACAAGCTAGCAGGGCTAAAGGACAGCTGTATTGATGATCTCAGTTTTCTAATCTTGCCCTTGGCTCCCTGGGGCTAGATGACAGATGATGGATGGGGGTGGTCATGTGACCACATCTTACTTGAAGGGTGCCCTCCTCCAGCTTCCAGCTTTGATGGAGACAGCATTTCAGACAGTGCAGGGAAGCAGCAAGAAAAGCCCAGGTTTTTTGGTTGACCTCAAGTAGGTTTTACAGCAGAAAATCCTGCCATCTTTATAGTATCCCATCTGATCATCCTGCCTGTTGGCACAATGGTCAAAAGAACTGATTTGGGACTTGGGTAGGTTTGGCTGAAGTCTGGTTCCCCAATTTATTGCTGTGTGATGGGCGTAGTTACCCCTCTCTGAGCCCCTTTCCCTGCCCTTCAATGGAATGATGCTAGGAGAGTGGAAAGAATTCACATCTGTGGAACCTCTGGCCCCAGGCTGGGCACCCTGACAAGGGCTAGTTGGACAGTAGCCCTGAAGACTACGAG